ACAGGGACGGATTCGTTGTTAAACAAGAGTGACAAAAAGCTGTGCAGAGCGTTGGAAAAGAACAGCCGGCCTGCTTGTTTTCAACCAACGCACATGGCCAATAAAAAAAGTGGTGCATTTTTCGTCCACAACATAATTTTCGGCCACAAGCAATCTTTCCAGCGCAAATATTAGGTGTGGTTTTGAACTTACTTTTTACTCTCAACGTGCCATAAATTATCCGAGATGCATTATTTTCTTTTCGATGAAAAAAACAAGAGCTGCGAGGTTAGGGAAAAATATAAAATTAATGCAAGAGCTCTTTTATTTCATGTCTGAGATGCTGGTCGGACGATTTCGCTTTTCTTTTTTTGGTCAATTCTGCAAGAGGAGGCAGACACATTAATGTTTTATCTCATCTGCTAAAAAAAAAACATAATAAGAAGACTCGCTCAGCCACTTTGCCGCTGCGAAAAGGCGCCTGAGACCTGGGGCAACATAACGGACCGTGGCTGCGCGGCTTTTGCGTCCAGGGTGCCCTCGCCTTTATTAGCTCATGCACGAGAGGAGTAAATTGAAAAAAAAAATACATCTATACCATCGAGTCTATTTTCCTCGTCCACACGTGGCAATAAATACAATTTCCCCTATTTTTACGACTCGTCAGCGCTTTTATACCAAAGCACAATAAAGATTAGCGCCAGCTTTCCAAAATCTACTGGTCTGCGGTCACCATATTTTATTATTTGCTATGTAAATTAGCATCAGCTCATTTCGCAGGTGTAGAAAATTTTTGTTTTGGAGTGTGATGGAATAACTTTGCGTAAAATTTTAAAGAAATATTTGAAAATATACATTTAAAATATATAAATTTTATGAGCTGATATTGCGTATTAAAATGTATGTTGTTTTTACGTGCTTAATTAACACTCTGTCCTGAAAAAGCGCTCATTTATTTCTTCCAAAAGAATGGCTGCCAAAATTTGAAATTTTAATTACAAAAGGCCTGATTTAAAAAAAAAAAAAAAAAACAATAATTAGTTAGAAGTCTAAAGATTTTTACAGTACAAAAATATAAATAAACACCAAAATTTTATTAGATTTGCTCTTTAATTTTTGCCTAAGATGAATAAAATATTTATTTTTGTTTTTCATTTTTCTATTTTGGTATTATTGATTTATTTATAATGTATTCTATTAATTTGTATAAGAGACAAGAGACCTCCATCAAACTAGAACAGAACAGTTTAGGATTATTTGGTATAAAGTATCAATTAATTTAACTTATCTGTCCTTAATTGAAACCTATTTATATAAATTTATGGAATCTATATATAAAAATAATGCATTATAACAAAATGCACAAGAGAAAATTTAAATAATATGTTAATATTGTTTTTAATAAAATATTAGATTGAAGATAATGAAATTTAAAACTAATCATCATAAATCAAAACCGTTAGAAATACTTTTATAAACACAAGTTATAAAATATTTGATTTGCAAGTGAATTAAATATTTTTTTTAGGAATGACACTTTATAAATTTTATTGTGCACTTCATTTTGAATGAAATTTTTTTAAAAATGTGTTTAAATCAACAGAGAATAAAATAATTAAATGAGCCAGAGAGGCAGAAATTGCGTCATAAAATTTATGACTGCTTTTACTTTGTTAACACTTTTCCTTCTACTATTGGAAACAAGTGCTCATTTTTTTTCTTTGTATTAACATTAAACAAGCCGACAAAAAAATGCTGACAAGAGTGCACATGCGATTATATCCCTAAAACGCAGGCAATAAAATCATTTGGTCTGCAAGTTAATAATGTACGCCTGGTCTAATTGCTCTTAAAAGTGGTTTGGCGAAATAGGTTTCGCGAGAAAGAGATCGACGAGCTTCCGCGAGGCGAAAAGTGCTCGGCGCGCATAATTAAAAAATTTCAACGGAGTGTTCACTCATGTAAGTAGTGCTAAAAATATCCCGCCATTATATTTTTACGGTCCATCTCCTAGATTAGCGGATACATCAGTTTATGAACTCGATTTTTATGACAACGGCCTAGACTTTTAAATGCTGATGGGAAATCAGCAGACTACCCTAATTGACTTGAAAGCTCGCAGGCGCCTGATTTCGATTCTGGAAATTGGAATTGTCTGATTCACAGATTCTGCAGCTGCTGTCGCAGATCAGCGACGGAAATCTCATTAGGCCCTCGGCTCTTCCTGAGAAGAATGAAGCACGGCTGCTGTGCTACACTGCTCAGTCCAGTAATTTTATTGCTGACGTGAATCATACTTTAAATGAGAGAGATAATCACTCTTTGTCTGCTGGATGAAAATTTTCTGGATGCGTGATCGATCGCTTTCAGGGGCTTGGAGTTTTGCGAAGCGCAGCTGGTTTTTGATGGGAAATTTTTTTTCTTTAAAACTGTCCCTTCAACTTCTGAATTTAAACTGCAGTCAACATTTTCAGCAGATGAAATTAAAAAGAATAATAGATTTGATTATTACATTAATTATTTCATAATTTAATTTAAACATATTCTAAAAAAAATTTTAAATTTAAATTTTATTTTTCTTAATTTCTGTGGAAATGAATTTGATAAAAGCATTTTTATAGATGGGATTATATATTTTTAACAAATAATTTAGCAATTCTCTACGTGCAATTTATTCCTGAATTAAAAAACCTGAAACTAACAATAAGATGAAAAATTTTAGGATATGCAAAGTAAAGACGATTTCTAATGAAAATTTTAGCTTGTTTGGCTTTCAATTCTAATGCTTGGCAAGTCTTTTTCTGTTAAAAAAAGGTTATCAAATGCGATTGATAAGCCTCACGCAGGCCTCTTGAGCTTTGAACCACTACGAACTTAATTAACGCTTTTAATCGTCAGCTTTAATCACCAAAATATTTTTGACCATTTTTAAACGGCCATTTAATTTTAAAACGAGATTGTGACAAATGAAAAGGAAGCGGCAGATTATTGAAAACAATTACTCGCAGTGATTATGCTGGATGACAGATAAAATCGGGAGTAATTGCAGCTGCCCTCAATAAGCCAGTTATAAATTTAAAGGCTGCTATATGCGCGCGAGAGGAGAAATCTTTTCAAGGGCGAAATCGACGCCTGCTGCTTGAAAAAGGCGCACAGACTGCTTCGTTTTTACCCGCCGAGTGCCGCGTGGACAGTTGAGTATTTTTTTTCTTTTTCGAAAAGAGCACCCACCAACTGCGAGATGCAGACGTTCTTTCTCTCTCTTTCGCGAGGTTTTATATATATTTATTTTGCAGCAGCAGCAGCAGCAACAGGTCGCGTTGCCCGTGCTGTCATACAAAAAGAGCAGAATAAGAAAAGACATTGAACACGCCACGCCCTATCTCTTATTTGAATATATATATATTCGAAATCAAGCTGGGCAAAACGAGTTCAAATTTAAAGAACGGGGCACACACATAAAAATAAAACACAAATGGCGAACTGGTATATAGTACGCTTCTCGCAATTAATTTCTGCTGCCTCAACTTCTTGGCACTTGGCTCTGAAATTAAAAAGCGCAAGGCGTGCGCTCCCTCCTTGACGCAAATTTATATAAATTTATTATACGCCGCCGCCTCTCGTGTTTTGAAATTTTATCCTCGCGACACAAGCCACTCATCAGCGTGATCTGCAGCCTCTGCCGATATAAAAGCCATTACTCAACAAGTGCAAAAAGTCGTTGTTTTTATGCCGGAAAATTAATTGACTCAAGTGTTTATTGAATCTTTAGTTGGCAGCTTCTCGTGACCGTATTTAACTGCCTGATTGGTCAGTTTTAGCTGCAAATTTATGCAGTATCTTGCAATGAATATTTAATCTAAAAATATAACTTCATTGAAATCAAGCATCAGAGAGGATATTTTATTTTAGTTGCCGAAAGAGTGCAGCTGCTTTATCTATAGTTAAAATAATTGCCTTTTGGCAAAATTTTAAGAGACCATAAACATCTAATTGTATAGGAAGGTATATAGGAAAAGTCTACATAGGAACCATTAAAGCCTTAGTATATTTTTTGTTATTTAAAAATTAATACGGAATTGCCTAAAATATTAATCAAGTTTTTTTATTATGCGAAAAAAATATCAATTTCACGAGACTCTTCTTTTTGTATATAAAGAAATCAAGAAATGTATTTTATTTGTGATAAGGGGTAATATATTATAGCTTGCAGCCCATCTCGGCGAGGACCTCTCTAGAGGACTCTCCTTTTAGCAACTAGCCGGAGGTGTTGTCATTTCTTCATATTTTGAAATAATATTTTTATTTTGACTTAAATTGTGAAAAATAACAACCTTAATAATAAATATTTTTTTTAAATTTGATATACTTTTCTCCAGAAATTACCCACTTTCGTCGGAAATGATCTTGAATAAAATTCCCTAGATAATAATTAGGGATAAAATGAAATAACGGTGATCATATTTTATTTAATATTCAGCGATTTTAATTAATGGGAACGTGATTGCGTCACTTTTAAACATATAATTCAATTAAATATTTCAATTCTAGATTAATGGAGTGAAATTAAAAAATAATAATAATAATATTAGGCTGCATTTGCAAAAGGTCTATAATTTGTTTTAAAGTTTGAATATATTTAATCCTGATGCCGATATAATTTATTTCATTTAAATTTCCTTTGACGAGAGCAAGTCCGCTCGTAAATTTCATGAGCTGAGATTCATTTCTGGGAACAATAATGATTTGAGGAAGGCGTCACACGGTGGCCCAGCGAGAGGTGCAGCGCGGAAAACGGCGTGTCCTCCTCCGCATTCTTTCGTGTTGCAACACGCAGCGAAAGACGCCGGCGAGGCAGGCGAGGAATTCGCGGGAAAGTTTCAAATTCTCCCTCCAGAAAGCGTAGCGCGGTAGCCAGCGGGCCGTGATTGGTCGAGAGAGCGAGCTTCGGGTGTCGGCCGCTGGGTGGGGGGCTAGTTGTGGGCACGCGGGGAAGAGGACGCGTCCGCCGTGGCATCGCCCATTTCCACTTCTTCACAATCGAGACAGCAAGCTAGGCCGAACGAGTCGCTAGTTTTTTGGCCGGTTCAGAGTGCAGCAGCCCCTCGAGAGGAGCAGACGTGTGGCCAGTGTCAGTTGGCATCAAATATGAGTGTGGCGACCCTTTCTGTGAGCATGGAGCAGCGACGCGATGTGAGTCGTCCCAACCGCAGCAGCGCCTCGCGCTGCCTCTACGGACCCCCGGACAGGGAGTACCTGGCCCGCAAGTACGAGCAGTGCAGCCGCGAGCAGGCCGAACGCTTCAAGGATGTGTGGGGCTACGACCCTGAGAAGGATTGCCCCGTGCCGGGTCACGACCGCTTCCAGTGGGAGCCCCTCAACGCCGCGGCCGCCGTCCAGCGTCCCTCGCCTTCCGAGCAACAGTCGGACGCGCCCGTCCAGCAGCAGTCACCAGAAAACACCAAGTCCCTCAAGCAGAGCTCCATTAAAGGTGAATTTTTTTAACATTTTCCATTTTTTTTTCATTCGAGGGAGAAATTTTGCAGGAATGCGGAATTCAAAATTCGGTTTTCTGCTTTGCCTTGCCGATTCCGACAAAGTATTGCGTCTTTCGAGGAAGATGCGCTCCAAGGGGGGCGGGGTCTTGCGAACGTGTTGCAACTTGTCTCGAGAGACGCTAGACTCTTCTCGTTTTATCTCTCCGGATTAAAAAAAAATGCGCATTTCTCCATAAAGTAGCAAATTAATGGAATAGTAAAAATAAAAATTTGATCAACGAAACAGGAAAACTTTTCAAAGTTAAATGCAAAATTTTAATCAACTTTTTATTAGATTTTTTTTTAATATATAATCCACTTCAATTCCGCCTGGAACTTTTCCTCTTTGCCACTTTTTGCCCGTTATCAAAATCTCTGCAATCTTTCAGAACGTTTTATCATGCAACAAAATTTTCTTCCGAAAAAACCGTTTTCAATTTGAATTTGGCGCCAAAGTTAATTAAAAACGAAAAGTAACGTGGATATCGATAGCAAGGAAATGACTCAATATTCTGACCAATTTGTTCAATTCATTTTCAAATTTATAATTTATTTTACAATACTTTATATAAATTTTTATAATAATTTCCTTATTTCGCCCTGGACCGTATTTACTTTTTTCTCTCTTTCACGTTACTCGGGGGTTTGAACGACCGTTCGTGGGCGTTAAAGGGTGAGCGCAGATGGCAAGGGAAGCCCTTTAAATTGGGGGAGGCAGCCCGTATGCCGGTTTGCAGCACCATATGCCACCCCGGCCAGACACGGAGGATCATGTTCGCTCCCATTTTCCTTGCAATTTAACCGAAAACTCACAAATCTCTCGGCCACGCAGATGTGCAGTTCTTAAGGTTTCAATTAATAGCATTCAGCCCGGCAGAAGAACTTTATCAATTCGCGACAGAGGAAAAGGGCGTCGCCTCCCGCCTTTTATGGTGCATCTTCTGGAAGGATTAAAAAAAACGAATAAAATGATGCAACCCGTTGTTGTCAAAGACAGAGTTTGGTATCAGTTTCCTTTCCCGCCCACGAGAAAGAAAGAAAAATAAAGACGGTCGGTTAAAATTACATTTGTTTCCAATAATATTTTCGAGTTTTTCTGAAATAAATACAAATTTAGGCACAATTTATTAATTAGATTTTGTTTTGGAAATTATTTCCTTCACACGCCAACGGTTTTCGATTTGAAGTTTGGCGCCATTTCCCCATTAATTGGTCTTTAATTTATTTACAATGATTATAATTCCCGTCCGGATATTGTTGAGGCGTCGGCTTGTAATTGAACGCCGGTGAGAATCGTAACGGTCGTTTTGGAATTTATTTTCACTTAGGTGGCGAGAAAAATGCTGCGTTTGTGAGGAATAATTGGGGCCGGCCGGTCGTGTTATCAGCGCGCGCTTGTTGCTGGCGCTGCACTTTTGATAACGCGCTGCTTCTTCTTCTTAATTAGTCAACATGGCCTTGTTTCTTATCGGCCGCGATTCACATTTAAAAGGCTGGCGGACGCGAGCGAGCGCAAGACCGCGCGCGTTTCGCGGCTTTTCTCGCCGTAGTACTCTAATATTTACTATCAATATTCGTCTTGGCGCCCCCGACTTTTCCTGCCTCCGAAATAAAAAAATTCGCTTTATTCCTTTTCGATGCATTTCGCAGTGGGCGCGGCCTTCGCATTATTATTCGCCGCTTTTGACCTTGGTGCGTCAATTTAAATCATTTATAAACCTCGACCGAGTCTGATTTAAATCCGAAGTGAAAATTCAAATTGTCGTACGAAATTTTTATCTCGGGGTGAATTTAAATAAAATTTCGAGCTGCAGGATTGGTTTTACGCTAAAATTGTGACGCGTCTGGTTTTACTACAGAGCAGTGGGGCTTTTAAAACTCCGAGGGGGGAGGAGGCGATGATAAAAAAGTAAAGGGGAGACGCTCGTGTGTGTGTGTGTGGATGGCGTGATAGGGCGGCGTTGCCGCTCCGGCGGTTTAAAAGCCGCCACTCGCGCGCTTGCCAGCTTTCGTTATCAAGAAGAAGCTTCGGCGACTCACTCGGTTGCTAGCTCGGCCTCCAAAGCAGCATCACAATTAATTAAACTGGGGGTCATGGACCGCGAAGCGTCTCTTCGCGTCCCTCGGCCCATTCGCACTATAGGTGCTCCATCCTAAAATTTCTAAACTTGAAAAATTCACTCTTGATTTATTTTCCAATTCTCTTTTTATTTCAACGCCTGCAATTTCTTTATATTATATATTTTTATATTTAAAACAGATTTTTTTCCACCGTTGTTTTGGTCCGCAATCTGCCTTGTTGTGGTAGTTGCTGGAGGTTGGTTTTTTCATCTAATCTCGGTGGGGCATTTTTGAGCTGCTTTTAATCTAAATTTAAAGCACCACCACATGGCAATCAAAACAGACCAACGTGCGCAAAACAAGGAAGTGAACTATCCAGAAGCATTTTTTTTTTCATTTTAAATATAAAAATAAAAAAGTCCCCTACCGTTATGTTTGGGAAAATAAAATAATAAAATCGTGCGGCTGATCAGCATTGGTTGCACGCCTGGATTGTTTTTCTCCTCACTAAATATATTTGATAAAAGGTAAGGTGCTGCAGGTGTGTTTGTTGCTACCGTTCAAGGTCTAACAAAGAGCCAGTGACCATCTTGCTTAGGGTTGAGCGACCAATCTCAAGGCAAACCCGTCGACGCTCTCTGACTGAATCACCGCTTCGTATAATAATTATTCGAGCAGTCACTTTCTGACTCACTTGTGTTTTTGTTTGGAAAAGGCAAAGCGAGAATCGAATGTTTTTATTTTTATTTGTTTTATTGGTTTTTTAAACCTGGTCGCTAATGTTGTTGCTTTTGTGTTTGCAGATTTCTACCCTGAAAGAAAGCGCTCTGCCAGTTCTTCGTCGGCGGCCGTGGCCAAGAAGCCGCGCCCGTCCAGCGACTCGGAGGGCAGTTCTTCCTCGCCGGAGGACGCCGCCGCCTCCTCCACCAGCAGCAGCCAGCAGGTCAACTGAGATGCTGATCTCCTCCCTCGGCTTTCCCAGATCTCGCAGCAGAGGCAGGGGGATTCCCTCGTTGATTAATTATTAATTATTTTATTATTTTATTTCCAAAGATTTATTTGCCTTATTAATTAATTGAAATATTTATCCAAGAAGAAGTAATGTACATAGCAAAAATGCATAGGCGAAAAGGGAATACATTGTATTATCATGAGAGACACGTGAAGCGGAAATTCAAAGAAGTTTTATGTTATTAGTACAAACTTATGTGCGTTGGAAGAGTGGAGAATCGTAAATCTCTAATTTGTGTACATAGCAAATACAAAGAAGATGCAAAGTGAAAGAGGAATATTCTTGTGGATTTTTTGTTTTGGCCAGCATACAGAGTTATTGAAGTCTGTGATTCACTAGATCTCATTGAAGCCAATTTAAGACCAATGTTGTTGCCGCTGCAAATGCTGCTATGCACCGGCGCAATATGGCTTAGGTAAAAGAGAAAAACAATGGAAAATTATCATAAAAAATGAATATAAATTAATTGGATTAGAATTCTGTAAATAGGATAATATATATTGGAAGAGCATTCAATAAACAAGTGTTGGCAAGGAATTCATTTTGTTTGTTTTCTATTAAAAATGCCCCTGTAATTTAGTTTAAATCTGATAAGTATATAAGATGCTGATCAAAAGGATATCTTTTTCTAAAACATAAACATTAATCTGCATTTCATTTGAGTTAGATTATTCAAAAGATCTTAAAAAAAATGCAATCATATTATAATAATTGAACCAAAATATGTTATTCAAAATATCATTACTCTAAAATTTCTGAAGATCATCTTTTCACACTTATGCAGTTAAGAGGCTTTTTTTGCAAGACATTAATATTCATTTCAAAATTTTTGCACAAGTTAGATAAAGAAAGTGAGATAAGAATTAGTGTTTATTTAAATTACTATACTGCCAATTTATTAATCTAAGCAGAATTATTGTAATATTACAAACAGATTCAGTGCTGAAGAGCTAATAGGTGTGAGGAACACCTGCCGCCACGTGGGATTTGTTCTAGTTTCATCCTACTGTCTATTTCTTTGTGTCGCTTCTCCCAGAAAAGCAAACATAATAAAAAGATGAGATAATAGAACAATAACAAAATGATAATAAACTTAGTAATTCAAGGGCCGCAGGCGTTTTTCTTTGCCTAAATGAGAAGAGATAAAAATTCACTCGGCAGAAAATGCATTGTTCGTGCGGAGGCTGGAGGAGGAGAGGTGTTTATTAATTTTTCCTCACAATGCCACAGGACAGCGCGTCAGTGTGAAACTGTCAAAATGAAAATCAAACACCAAGCCAGGCGCGGAGAGCAATTTCCCTTGTTGAATGCGCGCGCAAACAATGAAGAATTGTTGAAAGTGGTTGCCGCAAAAAACCTAATCTAACGCGGTGCAAAATTGATAGCCCTTTGGCAGCCGAGCTACTGAATATTATTAACGCACCGGCGGATTTTTTATGTATTTGTAACTCTGGTGAATCGCCCTGGGTGGTCTCTCCTTTCAGATCCGCATCTCGAGCAGCACCCAATTTGACGAGATCCTGGCTGCGCCGCGAAATGCAAAATCCCAGCTCATCTGGAACAGATAGAGGAGATGAAAAGGGGAGAGTCGCCGCCGCTCCTTTGAAGTTCACAAAAATGCAGCTAAACGATCTATGAGCTTCGATCATTAAAGTCACTCAAAATTATGTTTAGGAAAATGATCTGCAATAATTACGATATGAAATCCTTTTTAATCGAAGTACGTAAACATTTTTTTTTTAATATTTATACTGGTTTTTGAAATCTCCAAATAAGAAAATTAATTACCTTCCAATAATTCTAAATTAGATTTGGCGGCCCCACATAAAGCGGCGGCTTCCCTCTAGTGTTTTGCAACCTAACATAACACAATAGAGCACACCAGGCCGCGCGTTTATATATTGTGCAAATTAGTCGCCTCTGTCTTTTATGAGTCACATCCGCACCCTCCATACCTATTTGGCATAAGTAAATGACGCCTCCTACCAGATCAGACTTAAGCATAAAAGAAAAGAAAAAAACGAGTGGGTTAACGCCTTTGAAGTAATTCTGGACGACGCTGTCATCAATTTTATTGCAAACAACCCACCTGAGATGTTTTTCTCCGGGGTGCATGACTCACCAGAGAATAACGCGTTCGCTGTTTATATGTTTTAAATTTTAATAAAAAGCTGACACACCACACACCATAGAGAAATTCCCTTTAGTTTGAAAAACTGAAAAGCACTGCAGGGATTCTCAAAAATTGTTGAGTTGGTATGTTTTGGCGCAATCAGAGGCCACAGACCCCGCGCGCGAGTCTGACGAGGAGGAAGTGTCAAAAACCCTGATGAGCGCGAGAGAGGAAGTGAAAGAATCAGCATAATTTTGCGACGCTGCGGGGCCTGAAGAGGCAAAAAAATAAATACTGATGAAGCACACTGTCAAGAGGGGCCTATAATATTGAATATCGTGGGATATTTTCTGTATGTTAACAGAAAATTGGAGTAAATAAACATAATAAAATTTTATTTTTTGAATACGTGCAAAATTTTATTGATAACCCATAAAGAGTGGTGCAAAAAAAAACATCTGGTCAAAGAGATTTTCAGAGCGTCCCCTACTCAGGAACACGCGGTTTATGGGCGCGAAAATTTTTACTGCCGTTTTTTATTTGCATAATTATCAAAAGCAAGGAGCTTTGGCTAAAAAAGTCCAGACGCACATCAAATAGATTATCATTTTACGACATTGTGCATTATCTGCATAGAAAAATTTTTACGAGAGAGAGAGAGTGGAAGTTATTTGCAAAGGTGTCAACTGTGTGCAACATTTTATACTGCTCTCTCAACTAGGTCGTTTTGTTTGCTTTCGCTGCTGCCGAGAACATAAAAAGCAGAGCCAGGTAATAAGCGGGCGCAGACAGCAGCAAGGGAGATGAGCCACATCCAGATAATCACATTTGTATATAATATTGTGGCTTCCAACCTTGCTGCCGCCATAAAAAACAAGGGGTAGAATTTATTGCAGGAAACTTGTATGCCCGCAAAAGCTGGAGAGTTGCAGCCAGCATTGAAATCACTGCGGGTTGCCTCGTCTCTCTCTCCCTTGCGTTTTCCCTCCAAAAGTGAGCAAACATAAAAAGCAATCTAAAGTGTGTGTGAGAGATTTCCCCAAGGCGCATGGAGTGGACGCGGAAAGCAAAGGTCAGGTAAACAATCACCCAAACACAAAAATACACACACAAGGAGACGCGTCACGAGCAACATGGAAAAAGAAACCTCTGACACTTTTGAAATTGGTTTTCCACATGTAGCATGAGGTTTGTTTTTATACACAGGCCTGGCAGCGGGGGACAAAAATATTAATTTCACAGCAGTGACATTTATTTATTTCTCAAAAAAAATTTAAAAAAGATTTACTCTCATCAACAAAAACTTGGCCATAACTATTAAATTAATTTTTTTAAACAATTAGGACTGCTATTGTTTTTACGCAAAAATGTTTTTAAAATATAAGCGAATTAAAGTAAAGTGAAAAGCTAAAATTTTGGTGGAATTTTTCAATTAAATTTATAATACATCTCAAAACATGTTTCCAGAATAAATCATTTTAACAAATTATTTTCTTTCCCCCTAGCACTTGTCCCCCTTCTTATCTGTGAACTTTGAAACTTTCTTTACCTATCTCAAGGTGAGACTGATTGATTTCTCTCTGTTTGATTGTTGATTTGACGATTGAAACATCAATATCAGTTTGGTATTTATTTATAAATGCATCATGTGGACCAAAAAGAAGCTGTTCTTCGAATCCGGTTTCTTGAACCTCATTACGGAAAATGTCACCCCTATCTCGCCCTCATTAATATGCATATAATCTCGCTAGGCAACGACAGAGTAAAATGGAGCTCCTTCTTTTGCGTGAGACGCTTTTGGTGCGGATGCTGCGCGTCCTTTTTCTGAACAAAACCAAGCTCTTTTATCCGAAATAAATATATAAAGGGGGTGAAAACTTCTGGCTCGTCTCGACACAATCTCGTTGTTGATTCAAGGGAAATGATAAAAGGGATAAAAAGCAACACCACGTTTGTCTCTGTGATTTTCTCACAGAAAAATCGTAGAGTGGGGTGCGTGCATATCTGGCGCGTCTAATCAGAAAACCGACTAATTGTGAGAAAATCTTGGGTGCGCCGTGAAATGTTTTCATAAATGCCTGCAATTAAAGATCATAATTATATAAATTGCGGTGAGCCACTGCGCACAGGAAGTGGAGAGTGGTGGCAGTCAACACACAGCAAAAGTGATGGCAATTAGAGAGAGAGGTTGACTTTCAAGAGTGCATATTTTTGTTATTCCTCTTTTTGATTGCTTTTGGAGAGAGAGAGAGAACAATAGTCCCCTGCGTGCATATGCGATGAGGAGAGAGAGCAAATGGAAAATCCAGAGAGAAACAATTTACCTTTTGACTGCACAAGTAGTGCTGCTTTTGTCTTTTCTATATTGACTATTTGCTGATGGGAATCCACAGAGCAGCGGGAGCCGTTTGTTTTTCATTTTCAGCAGTGAAGGGTCATCCTGGAAGAGCCATTAAGAATCTGGCCAATTCAAAAACGCTCTCTCATAGAGCGCAATGAAAATATTTCCTTTGTCTTATATTCACGCAGCATAAGTCGCGCACTTTCGAAAACAGGATATGGCTGCGCGCCGATTTTTATATAATGTGAAAAAGAATTAAAGAGCGAGCTCCTGCTGAGAGTGAAAAAGGAAACTGGCACGAAAACAAATTGTGGAAGCACGGATCCAGCTCCCAAGAATCAAAAATATTTTCAATGGCCAAATAGACAACATTAAAACAATAGAGATCCGCATTCATAGAGCATCAATTAACTTTTATTAATAACGTTTTCAGCATGCCTTTAAAAATTTGAAAATTAAATGGAATCAAATCACTATTTTCTTTTGGGTAGATAATTCAATTATTTTCATAATTAAATTTAAATAATCTACAAAATAAGAACGAATGTCAGCTGAAAATTCCTTTTAATTGGTATAAAATTTCCAGATTTAAACGTAATTAAATGGAGTATATAAAATACCGTGACAAACGTTTTTCTGTTGGGATTTTTCTGGCCTTATAAAATTAAGCAGTTCTTGCTGATATGCAAAAAATATGTTTTATTTTGTGATGACAAAAATTAAAAAAGTTCCAGATATAAATTTATGCTATTTGTATCATTCAGGAATTTCTTTTGGTGTAAAATGATAAATATTTATTATTATTGTGGTAAAAAGTCGATCGTCTGATGCCAGTACATTTGGCAATCAAGAGAATTCATTTCATACTTTGATATTAAAATATTAATTAATATTTGAAATTTCTTTTTGGTAAAAATAAGAGTTTCTGGAGCTCGGCCAGAAATCAAAGCACCCCGAAGCTTGTTTTGTCCATCGACGTGACACGCACCACCGCAAAAAGTGCGGATTGCGCCGGTATAATTATTTTCAGAGAAGCCTGCAGCGGGACAGAGCAGGAGGCAGGCAGCGGTTTGTGGGCGCGAG